AGGGAGAGGGTCATGCCCTCTACACTGAGCTGTTCTCCTTTCTACCCACTAGACCTGTAAGGGAGAGAACATAGTAAAAGTAGGTTAGAAGATAAAGATATTCTGCCCTGCCTACCACACAGAGTCATCAGGAGGATAAAATGGAAAAAGCAAAAAAAAAAAACTATGTGAAAGGATTTTTTTTCAAAGCTGTATAGAATCAGTATCATCATCTTAAAACTATATAGTCATTCATTTAGAAAGTTAATAGAGCCCATGGAGAAAATGGAGAACGGCCTAAATACTCTCCAAGTGATTGTTTATAGATCTTGAGAAACAGGAAAACCTCCTCATTCCCTGCTCTCTCCTCCAATAGGGCTGAGGAAATCACTTGTAGAGAACTAAGGACTTTCCACAGTTCTGTGAGCCAGTAAGACTCAAGTAAAATGAAATCTTCTGTCTAGAATTCATTCATTTATTTGGAAAATATACAGTGCTGAATATGTTCCCAGAACTGTAATAAACCCTGGAGATAAATGGTGAGTAAAACGGCCAGGGTTCCTGCCCTCATGGGAGAAATCGCTGTTGGTAACCATGAAGCATCTGAAGGTAGTAAACAAGGGTTGAAACAGAGAATGATGAGGGACCACAGCAGACCCCTGTGGATGCCGGAGACTGCAGACACTACCAAACCCTGTGTGTACCATGCTTTTTCCTGTACATATATACCTATGGAAAAGTTTATAAATTAGGCATAGTAAGAGAATAATTATAATATACTATAATAAAAGTTATATGAATATGGTCATCTGTCCATCTGAAAATATCTTACTGTATTGTGCTCACCTATTTTCGGACCATGGTTGACCACGGGTAACTGGAACTGCAGAAAGCAAAACTGCTGCTAAGGGCGGACTACTATACCTTAGAGAGGCAAAGCCCAACTGAAAAGGCAATGTTTAAGCTGACACCTCAAGTGTAACAGGAACTGACTCATCTGGAGGGAGGGGTAGGAGATCCTAGGGAGGAATTCCAGGCTCAAGGAATAGCACGTAAAAGAATTTTACGTATTTGCAGGATTAAAAGATGGCTTGAGCAGCTGTATGAAAGCCAGTGAGGACGACGGATACTGAGCGAGTTGGAGAGATTGCTGGGGTTAGACAGCCCAAGGGTGCGCAGTCCATGATAAGAAGTTTGGTTTTTACCTGAGAGCAGTGGGATGACATTGCTGAGTTTTAAGCTACAGTACCATGCAATATGACTCAGGTCTTTAGAGTATCATTCCAGCTGACACTGAATAAATGACTGGAAGGGGGCAAGAGTGGAAGAGGGGAGACCTGTTAGGAGGCCACTGCAGTAGAGTAAGTGACTGGTGATGAAGGAAGGATGGAGAGATGTCTAAGCTCATCCTACCTGCAGGCTCTAGGCAGAGAAAGTGTACACATCTTTTTTTTTTTTTTTTTTTTTTTGAGACAGAGTCTCGCTCTGTTGCCCAGGCTGGAGTATAGTGGTGTGATCTTAGCTCACTGCAACCTCTACCTCCCGGGTTCAAGCGATTCTCCTGCCTCAGCCTCCTGAGTAGCTAGGATTACAGGCGCAAGCCACTACGCCTGGCTAATTTTTGTATTTTTAGTAGAGACGGGGTTTCACCATGTTGGTCAGGCTGGTCTTGAACTCCTGGCCTCATGATCTACCCACCTCAGCCTCCCAAAGTGCTGGGATTACAGGTGTGAGCCTCCACACCCAGCCAGCACACACATCTTTAAAGGGAATTTATCAAGGCCTCTAAGGGCAGAAATGTCACGTGTAACTATGCATGTGAGGAAGGCAGAAGATGAATGGGTGGTGGAGAGGGAACAGGAAAGCAGCATAGTTTAGAAGGAAAGTTACAACCCGGCTTTGTAGCCAGACAGACACTGGAGGAAAGCATTGCATTTCATTCTGTCTCTGCTTCCTGCTCCCAGAACTTCTTTAATCCCAGGAGAGGTTGAGCAGGAGGAGAAATGGGATCTTCTGGACATTCTGGAAGGATATCAAAGTTAAGGAAGTTAAGTTTCTAAATATTAAGTACCTTACTATTTCCAAGACCCCAGAAATAACATAATCCCTTTCTATAAGTAAATGGTGTTCTTGCTGTGTTCCTTCCACATTAAGTTCTCAAGTAGTTCACTGACCTCGCGGTCCAAACATATTGTCCAAAAAAGCATTGATTTCATCATCAAAGGCCTTTAGATGCTCCTAAAAAGAGAAAGAAAAATGATTTAAATGGTTTTTTCTTTTTTTTTTTGAAACTGTCAAAACAAGTCACTATCAACAACATGTAATTGCCAGACTCTCCAAGGGTCCCAGCTTCAAGGACTTTTGACTGTAAAGACTTAGGGAAAGAGGACCAGTAAATGCATCCTCGCCTTTCACAAGCCTGTAAAGATTTGGAAAGAAACAATTCCTCTTATTTCCTTAGGCAAGAGGAGTCCTGGAGAACAGGCTTGGTGCATTTAAACATTGAAGGGTTGGCTGGGCGCCACGGCTCACACTTGTAATCCCGGCACTTTGGGAGGCTGAGGTGGGTGGATCGCGAGTTCAGGAGATCGAGGCCACCCTGGCTAACATGGTGAAATCCCGTCTCTACTAAAAATACAAAAAAAAATTAGCCGTGCGTGGTGGTGGGCACCTGTAGTCCCAGCTACTCAGGAGGCTAAGGCAGGAGAATGGCGTGAACCCGGGAGGCGGAGCTTGCAGTGAGCCGAGATCGCACCACTGCACTCCAGCCTGGGCAACAGAGGGAGACTCTGTCTCAAAAAAAAAAAAAAACAAAACAAAACATTGAAGGATTATTGACCTAAATTCCATTTACCTCTAAAATGCTTATAGGCAAAGCTGTTCCATAAGCAACTTCCCTTGTTATAATTAACAGTTGTGGGTAGGCAATAGAGAACGTCCATTTCCACAAAATATATTAATAAATCCAGTTTTTAAATGAAAATTCAGGCTGAACTATATTTTGAAAAACTGAATCAAAAACTTTAAATAGGACTTGTTTTTCACGTAAGGAAACTGAGCATTACAGCTATTTTTTCTATTTATGTTTTGGTTGTTTTCAAACTGTTTCTTACACATTAACATCTACTTTATATTACTGTAAATAGTGCCACTTGGGTACACCAGATTAATTATTGTCACTTTCACTGGATTCAGGTGGGAGCTGGAATACTGCCAGCTTGGTCTGCTCTCACACTGCTCAAATCCCCGTTCAGGTGTTTCCCAGCCCCGCCACAAAGGTCTGCAGCACCTCCTCAAGCAACCGGAGAAGTCAGAACATTACCAGCGTTTCCAGGAAAGGGATCTCTGCTGGGGATGTGGGGCCGGCGGGTTGGTCCCTGACTGTGTGTGAGCTGAGCAGGACAGCCTCGGGAAGTTGATACAGGGCACGCATTAGATTCAGCTCACTCTCCAAAAAAGGTGTAAATGCCAAAACAGATGATTAATTTGCTGGCATCTGAAAAGAGGAGCTGCATGTTTGGTACCTGGCACATATCACTTGGACCAATTCCTTATTTGTGACTCTGATCCTGAGAGAAATTTCAAGGAAACGTATGTCTTCGGGAACTTCAGAAAGCTTGGGAAAGAGGATGAAGATTAAAGACTAACATTTACTGGCACCTACTATCGCTGGCCAGCATATTAGGAACTTTATTTTCATTATTTCAGAATATCTTTATAAAAAATATCTGGGCTAAACCAAGCCTGAAAATTTTTAAACAGTATGTTCATCTTTGTTTCCATGCAGGACATCTCAGGAGGCCCCCAGATGTGACAAAGGTCAGTTATCTGAGATCTCAGTGTGACAGAATATGATCTGTGTTGCTTTAGAATGGGGGCAGATCTGACCAGAGGCCTCTCAGTCTTGAGCAAAGAATGTTAACCTCACAAATGTACTCACCATCATAAATGCCAATGAAATCTTTCTTCCATTGCTGCACCCACAAACAAATGTTTAAACTGTTTCAGCTTGTTTGCTAAGGTTCAAAATCCATTTTCCAACATTTGTAGAGCTAAGAAAACTCTAAAGGTCACAAAGCCCCTATTATTTCTATATTGCAAAAATTTAGTCACCGTGGAAGAAGGGCAGAAACAAAAGTAAAACAAGAGAAGACATGGAGAACAGAAAAGGAAAGAGATGAATAAAAAAAGGCATTCCATTCCTTCATTCATTAATTTATTGATTCATTAACCAATTATTTGAGGATTTTATATACTAGTACTGTTAAATGCTGAAAAATAAAGTCAAATGAGATGTGGTCCTTATCTTCACAGAGTTTTTAGTTGAGAGAGAGTAATACACAAATAAATAAAAAATTACAGTACCAGTGTCTTCAGTATTACAAGAAATGTGCTATAATGGATAGAGAAACATACTTTAATTTAGATCTCTTAAAAAGTAAAAGCTTCTTGGAAGAGATAAGGCTGTGGCTGAATTTTGAAAGACTGGAGACATTTTCCAGATGGAGAAGGAAAGAAAGAACACATCAGAAAGAAAGATTAACACAGATAAAACACATTGAGGCATGACTCCCTTGGGAAATATTTTTATGGCCAGGGTCTCTAGTGACCTATCTGACAGGCAGAACCACATCCAATGCTGGGAAAATCGGAAACCTGATAAAAATTCTCTATTTCTGGGTTACTTAATATAGTTAGTAAGGAAGTAGTCTAAAAAGGCAATGATGAGATGAGGTGATGTCAGGGGAACAAACCGAGGTTTACACTGGAATAGTAAAACATAGCATAAGCGCAGAGAGGTTTGCAGTGTTAGTCAACTGGGGTGAAATTAGGAAGGCTAACCAGGCAGAGCTTGAGCCAGGAAGTCCTAGCTGCACACTAGATTCTACGTGTAAATGTCAAGTATGCTGGACAATGTCTGAAGATTAACACCAACTTAGGAGCAGAGAAAAAGCAGCAAACTCCATGCATTTCATTGACACATTTTTGAAGAGCATTCATGTATATAACACTTTGTCATATATATGAAGGGAAAGGAGACAAAGTAGTTGACTGAAAAGTTTATGCACAAATTGGGAAAGTGAGACACAGAAAGTCAAACAGCAAAAACCGAGAGGAGGGGGACACAGAACTGCCACATGACAGAAGATACAGGCATGAGGACGCAGGATGGGTTTTTCAAGACGGTTAGAATTGGGTGGATTAGAAGAAGGGAACAGTATAGCCCTTAGACTTGAGTGAGAGGCACTGGCCTAAGCTCCATGCTTTCAAGGCCCCCTTCTGGTCATCCTTTGGCCACATCCCTCCACAAAGCAAAAATAAAAAGAAAATAAAAAAAATAAAAATCCTTCAAGTCGAGATCATGCCTCCCTATGGCCACAACTTCCCCTCTCCAGATGACATTCCAAGTTCCCCAGGCCACAGAATTCTCTGCCAAATAACCCTGGATCCACTTCCAGAACAACTCCGTGTCCTTACAAGAAAGCTTGTGTTCAATGACTTGGAATTCAATTTGTGGCTGTGTACAGCAAATATAAGAAGAATGGCAAGACTGGTAGCAAGGAGAGCCTTATTTAATTGTGGACCCCTGATTACTTACCATAGTTGGTAGGAATGTAAAATGGTACAACCACTTTGCAAAACAGTTCAACATAAACACACACCTACCATATGATCCAGTTTTCCACCCCCAGGTATTCACCCAAGAGAAAAGAAAGCATATTCCCATGCAAAGACTTGAACGCAAATATTCATAGCAATTTTATTTGCAATTGCTAAAAAGGAGAAACTCCCAAATGTCTATCAACAGGTGACAAATTGTGTATAGCCATACAGTAAATACTACTCAGCAATATAAAGGAATGAACAATTGACATACACACAACATGGATGGATCTTAAAATTATTCTGCATGAAAAAAGTTACACAAAGATTACATACTATATGTTTCCATTTATATGAAATTCTAGAAAGTATAACTTATAGTGACAGAGAGCAGATCAGTGGTTGCCTGGGGACTGCAGAAGAAGAGACCAGAAGAGCCTTCAAAATGAGGGCTAAATAAGGACATACTCACATATGCCTAAGTGAGAGAATCTGGAACCAGCAGAACTGCACTTAGTATGCTAAAGATGCTCTTCATGCCAAAGGGAAATGACTCCATATGGAAAGTAGAATTTGCAGAAAAGACTCAAGAGCACCAAAAATTGATCTATATATTTGAAGAGCAATATTCTGAGCACCCTAAAGCAAACTGGCCTCCCCCACCTCATCACACCACTGTTACTGCCAGCAGCACCAGCACCACCTCTAATGCCACGTCCATCGCCACCACCAGGAATCAGTGTGGCCTAATACCCAGGGATGCCCTGGACCTGTCCCTTCTATTGGCAATAAATACACCACTTGGAGGTACTAGGGATCCATGTAAGGCAGTCTCACTGGACTGACTTCTCTTCTTTCTTTGTTTGTTTTTTGTTTTTTTGAGACAGAGTCTTGCTTTGTCGCCCAGGCTGGAGCAGTGGCGCTATCTTGGCTCACTGCAAGCTCCGCCTCCTGGGTTCACACCATTCTCCTGCCTCAGCCTCCCGAGTAGCTGGGACCACAGGTGCCTGCCACCACACCCAGCTAATTTTTTGTATTTTTAGTAGAGACGGGTTTCACTGTGTTAGCCAGGATGGTCTCCATCCCCTGACCTGGTGATCTGCCCGCCTCAGCCTCCCAAAGTACTGGGATTACAGGAGTGAGCCACTGCGCCCGGCCTCGACTGACTTCTTATAGAAATTTGAGAGGGTCTTCCTGGCTATGGAACGTGCAGCTCCTAGTGCTGGTAGACTGGCTCACCATACACCCCTGCCTTCTGTGGGTAGTTGGGAAACAGGAGAGCCAAGAAGGGCACACTTCTTGGGCATACTTTTTTGCCACCCTGATGTTGACTGGGATGTCCACCCATCCCTAACTCTATCTGTTAGGGCAAACCAGGGCATCTCAAATGGGAAGGCATTTCCCAGTTGGCTCTGGAAGGTTTAAGTCTGTGATCACTGCTTTATCCTCAAAACCCTGATGGCCCAGATTTTCTTCAGCAAAGGCTGCCTTGCAATCAGAATCACTGCCACCATGATTAAGGGCCATTCTACAGAAGCTGAGGCAGGAAGCAAGGCAGAAATGAACCCTGCCATAAAATTCTGCCTGTGCTTTCTCTGGTCTCGAAAGGATAGGATTCTTGATTCCATTGTATTCTTTCCTTTCTTTCCTCTCTTCCTTTGATTTCCTTTTCCCCTCTATTTCCTTCTTCCTTCTTCCCCTTCTCCCTTCCTTTTTTACTCGTTCCTTCTTCTTTACCTTCCTTTTAAAAATTTACGTTTTAGGCATTTTCTGGTTTTTGGCATCTGTCTACCATGGGCATTGTGTTGTATAAAAACCCAGTGATTCAAGATCTTGATGTTTGCCCTGTTTTGTTGATACAGTTTTATAGAACATTTAAAAGACACACTCAATGAGAACAGCTATTTTCTAACACCAACTCAATCAGAACAGCTATTTTCTACACCAACTCACTGCTTTTTAAAATTAGCAAAAACCATTAAGATCACAAAACACACTGTTTGATATATAGCATCCAAAAAGACTTTGTCTTTTCTTTTTTTTAATGCACATTTCAGAGTAAACTAAATGTGAAGTATTCAATGACAACAAGTCAGGAAATGGGATCTGATCAGCTTAGGAATGAATAGATTTCGTACTAACCTGACACAATTCTAACAACTTCCCAGGAACCTCAAGGTCAAGGCTGAGCTGTACAGAACTGAGAGAAGAAGAGGTGATATCTGCTGTCAGGGGCAAGGGAGACAGACTAGAGTCACACAATGAGTCCTCTCCATTGTTCCCATGGCTCAGGGTGGCCTTCAAATGTTGAAACCTCTTTTGGCAACTCCTGGGGGGATTATTCCCAGCCAGTCTCCCACATATTCGAAGAAACTAAATGTGTTTACCTTTGTGAATGAAACTAGGTTTAGAGGATGGATAAGAGTGGATTTTATATAAAAATGCATAAAATTATTTGGCTGTCATGCAGCTGACTTCACACAATACGTATTTGTGCACATTTTACACTGACACCCCTAAACTTCCTTTTCGGGGACTATCCACTCATCATCCCTACCTCCCGACTACCATTCTCTGGAGGGAGTAATGAGCTAAGTTGGAGGGTGAGGGTAGGCAATGGGTAGAAAAATCTTTCATGTATGGGAACTCTAAATTGTTATTATGTATTTTAGTAACATCATAAGGCTGAAACTGTCTACCTTAGGTTCTAAAGAATCTGACGATCATTTCTAACATCTTAGAAATGAGATGTTAATAAGTTAACCCTCATGGGGAGTAATACTGGCTACTGTTTATTAAACATTTAGTACGTGTCAGGCACCTGATACA